CTGATAGAAACCCATCAAATTCCTACTTCAGAGAATTATTAGAATCAAGCTAATTTAAAAGTCAACCTCAGTGTATGTACTACATTTGTAAAATCTGAATGTAATGTTGTATGCATGTGTGGTTTTCTTTTCTATTTTATTTATTTATTTATTTTGCTGTGTTACATGATTTCAACCACAGCTGAGTATGCATACACACTTCATTTCATATTCAATATCTTGAGCACTGATAATCACAATAAAATATAGAACTTATAAGTAAATAATGTAAAGGACCTTTCAGTGTGAAGAATTGCAAATCTCAAATCTCTCTGATTGACCTCTTCTTGCACTAATGCCACAGAGAATGAACTTCGATCTTTCTACCAACTTCTGCAGTGTGAAAGTCATCAAACATGAAAGCAATATACATTAATTACTGGTGACTAAAAACAAAAGTTGGAAAGCAAAAAGAATCCCTGGTAGTTGGAAATAGAGCCTTAGGGGAGAAACGATACTGGATATCACATGATAGAACTTTCCATGGCCAACAACTTATTTGTTGTAAGTATCTCTTCGACTAGTAAATGATAACTCTATCATTATCGATTATGTGGACTCCACCAAATGGGATATACAGGAATCAAACTGACTATATCTGTGGAAAGATATGACAGATAAGCTCAATATCATAGATGGCAACAAGGCCATGAAGTGACTGTGGAGCAGACCATCAAAAGTTTATATGCAAGTTCAAATTGAAGCTGCAAAAGCTTAGACCCATGAAAGCCCAATTAAGTATGACTGCAGGTGTATCCTACCTGAATTTAGAGACCATCCCAAGAATAGTTTTGATGAGTTGAACATGAATGAATGAAGACTAGGAGAAATCCAAAGATCATTTAAAAGACAGGGAAAGAAGAAAAGGCTAAATGAATTTTAGAAGAGACTATGAAAGTTGTCCTGGAATGTAGAATACCTAAAGTGAACAGAAGAAACGATGGAGTAAAAGACCTGAAAAGAAGATTTCAAACAGCACATGAAGTGGACAAAGTAAAACAGTATAACAAAATGTGCAAACACTTGGAGTTTAGAAACTAAAAGGGAAGAACATATTTGGCATTAATTAAAGCTGAAAGTACTGTAAGAAAAAATCAAGCATTGACCTGCAGTATTCAAGGAGTCTATAGAAAAATGTTGAACAACACAGGAAGTGTCAAAAGAAAATGGAATGAATAGAGAAACTGTATGGAAAAGAGCTGGATGGCCATATCAAGAGGTGCTACATGATTAAGAACTAAAGGCACTGAAGGAAGAATTCCAAGATGATCTGAAGGTGCTGAGGGGGAAGAAGTCTTCAGGAGTCAACTAAGATGTTTCAATAAACAGATGCCATCCTGATAGCTGTTGGTCTTCTCTACAAAGAAATTTGGAAAGACAGCTACCTGGCCAATGGCCAGAAGTGATCCATATATGTGCCCATTGCAAAGAAAGGAATTGCAACAGAATGTGGAAGTCATTAGACAATACCAGTAATATCACACATAAGTACAATTTTGCTGAATATAATTAAAAGACGGTCAAGGCAATCCACAGACACGGAGCTGCCAGAA